ACTGCTCTGTTTTACCCCAAACTATTTATTGTCTTATCCTACGACATTCCAGAAACAGTCAGCAAGGTGAATAAAAGAACAAGGACGAGTGCAGTTCAATCACAGCTAAAAGTGCAGAACTGAACCCAGAGATGGCTCTAAAAATATACCGTCACTTGATAGTGGTAAAAAGAGAAGCTCAAGGAAGAAACTAAAGCAGGAACTAGATCTCTGTAGAAAAGTGACATTGTAAGTCATTGTACTGGTTGTTCTAATACGGATTCGTCCAATGCTTCTTATCAAACTAAACTGGGTGAGCAGCGGCTGCTCATTTTTATGATGTTTCAAGCTGCTTTCATCACCTGAGTTTGAAAGTTGGAACAAAGAGAGTGAAAGGGTTGTCAACAAAAAGCTGAAAAGTTAAAAGGTGTGATCCAGAGTGCTAGTGAAAAGAGGGCATGGGAGATATGACATCAAATAGAAAATCATGCATTCGAAGTTGGTCGTAAAGTTAAAGAAAAACCGTGAAAGAATTTAGTTTCACTGCACCAGAGCTCGCAAGCAGAAATGTGCTAGCGCATACTTTGCATTTTAAATAACAAGCACGATGGATTTGAAACCACACAGATCATCCCAAAATCTTGCCTATGTTGTCATTTGAAAGAATAGGCTGTCTGCTAAAAACACAAAGTGGTACTGTGGCACACATCCACTCTACACCGCACGTGAGAGTGGCATCCCAGGCAAACCAGACGAAATTACATTTCCCCTTCCAAACACATGAAGCTGCAAGGTTTCCAGGACAGATTAGCTGCACACTGTCTTTCTTCATCTCCTGCCAAGAAACTTGAGTCTCTATGTATGTCTGTGAAGGTTTATTCAAATGACCCCAATGTCTCCTCCCTCTTGTCATTAAAACCCACAGGCTTGTACATGGGCATTTTTGTAAAGGTGCATCATTTGCTTTTTTCCATGAGACACCGACTTACTGTAGCTGGAAACAATGAAAGATTGTTTTATCTATTATTTTTTTCCCCATTTGTAATTTTTTTTCAGCAACAAAACTGTTACATGAAGTGTGCCTGAAAAACAACACAAAGTATCGGTAGAGAAAGAGAGAAACACTGTTATTATACAATCAACTGTATTATTTTTTTTGGTGCACCGAGGGTCTGTTCACGTGGGGCTCAAATATGGGATAGTACAATTTCTATAACAAATTGTAATTTTATGTTTAAATAAAGTTGATTGTATGTGAATTCATGCTCACTCGGGTTCACGATAAACGGCAAAGCAAAGAGTCCAGTTTTCAAAAAGTCAAACAACCCTTGGTGCTCCACATGTTGTACATATGTAAATATCTTCAAACATAATTAATGTGTTTCCTGAAATCTGAGGTGGAGTTAAAAAAAAGAAAAGAAAAAAAAAAGAAAAGGAAAATGACTCAAGAAATAAGAAATGTGTATTATTCATCAAGACGAAAATATTTTGTTAAATAGAATTCAAAAGAAGTGTTATTCGGCAAAAAGTGAGTGTGGATTTCTTCTTTCCTTAATCCTTTTTACATTCTTTGGAGACGTTTCTTGACACAAAATCACTTCGGATGGCATGAAAACACAACATGAACTTCTAAAAAAAAACAAAAAACAAATGTGCATTTGTCCTCTGCAAAAAGCACAGCACAGCATTTTTTGGTTCTTAAATCAATGACAGGTGCAAATTCAATATAAGCCAAGAGGATGCTGCAGGACAAGTCTGTTTAAATTCAGGTACATGCGCTTAAAAAGAGGGACACAGACAAACTCTTAGTAATGGTGTATATAAACAGAGCATTTCAGAATAAATGCTAGCACAATATTTTCCTGGCTCGTGGTCATGTGAGGGGTAGAATAAGAAGATACTGGTGCTTAATGGTTTTGTAATGCTCCCCAAGTTCAAGGGCATTACTCACAGGTTTATTCCTCCATTCCATTTCATTACAAGTCAGTCTGGGCTTCTATCTCGTCCGCACTGCTAATTGCCTTCTCCCACCTCCCACCGTGGACAAGAAAAGGGAAGCAATTTTATGCAGCACATAGCAATCAATAGCAATTAGGTGCATCCCTGACTAATCCTGTTGAAAATGGCATCTTGGGAGATGGCCAGCAGAAGAACTCTTAAAGCACACATACCTGCAAAAGTTTTCCTTTTTCTTCACAGCAAGTGCCAGCACTGTGACGGAACAATTAATTGCTTTGTTTTCCCGTTCTACACTTAGTATTGAATTTCCATCAATCTTTCTCTAGGAGCACAGTCTGCTATTGTATCAAACAGATATCTTCAATTAGATAATTGTCTCTTCCTGGTAAAGCCCTACATATTACGGAATGCATTTCCACTCTAAAAAAGAAGGCAGAAGATAACCAAATGATTTCAGTTCGACACAATAGGAAAAAAAGAACGCCACAATCTGAACTCGAATGGTGTGAAAAAGATTAAAAAGGCTTACAATGAGGTTGTTGCATCTGCAGTGATGTCTATGTTGCACTGGAGTGTTGTTGTGAAGAGGGAGCAAATTACAATCTAATTCAATCTAATTTCAGTCAATCTATATTCCAACATCACTTATTTGGATTCTGGGCTCATTCTTTTAGATTGGGTGAGAAGTCTGGAGAAGAACTGCTGCTCCTTCACATTAAAAGGTCAGTCAGTAAAGGAGTTTTGTGGCATCTCATTAGGATTATTCCTGGACGCCTCCCTGTGGAGGTTTTCAAGGCAAGGCAGACTTGATGAGAATGCTTGTGCAGGGCCAGTACACTTTGGAGGGATTATATATTACAATGTAGTCCAGAGATGCCTTTGAGTTTCCCCGGGAAGAGCTTATGGACATCAAAGAGGTGTGAGGCATCGGAGCTACCTTACTGAACCTGCAATGAAGGTGAAAAACCTCCACTGCAATTCAGTAGGCTGACGCAATCAGACGTGTCAAGTAGCCTAGTTATCATTTCTGAACAGTTACTGTATTTTATGCAAACTACATAGACTGAAGCTGTAAAGGGCCATGCCATATCTTACCAGCTACAATACTAATATAAATTTTGACACGATAAACAAGTGATGCATTGTGTTTACTTCCCATAGTACACACAATGACACAAGAACAGATACACCATATTGCCAAAAAAGATTTGTTCATCTGCCTTCACACACATTTGAACTTGAGTGACATTCCATTCTTAATCCATACTTTTAATATGATGTCGGCCCACCCGTTGCAGCTACAACAGCTTCAACTCCTCTAGGAAGGCAGGTTTAGGGGTGTGTTTATGAGAATTTTGTGACTATTCCTTTAGACACTGATGTTGGACGAGAAGGCCTGGCTACAGTCTCCATTCTAATTCATCCCAAAGGTGTTTTGTTGGGTTGAGGTTAGGACTCTGTGCAGACCACTCAAGTTCTTCCACAACAAACTCTATGATCCATTTCTTCATGGACCTTGCTTTGTGCACCGGTGTGCAGTCATGTGCAGGAAAAGGAAAGAACCATCCCCAAACTGTTCTGATAAAGTTTTGAGCACAAAATTGTCCAACATGTCTTGGTATGCTGAAGCGTTCCTTCCACTGGGACCAAGCCCAACCAATGAAAAGCAACCCCACCAAACTTACCTGGCACAATGCAGTCAGTACCCAGACTTTTACAGTAGCAATGTGCTTTACACCACTTCATCCGATGCTTTACATTGCACTTAGTGATGTAAGGCTTGGATTCAGCTGCTTGGCCATGGAAACCCATTCGATGAAGCTCTCTGTAAACTGTTCTTGAGTTAATCTGAAGGGCACATGACGTTTGGAGGTCTGTAGCAATCGACTCTGCAGAAAGTTGGTGACCTCTGCATACACTATGCAGCTCAGCATCTGCTGACCTCACTCCATGACTTTACGTAGCCCATCACTTCAAGATTCCGCCATTCTCAGTTACTTCTGCTTTGCTAGAATACCACTAACAGTTGACTGTGGAATATTTAGAAGTGAGGAAATTTCACCACTGGACTTGTTGCACAGGTGGCATCCTATCACGGTACCACACTGGAATTAACTGAGCTCATGGGAGTGACCCATTCTTTCACAAATGTTCTTAGAAGCAGTATGCATGCTGGGGTGCTTGATTTTATACACCTGTGCCCATGGAAGTCATTGGGACACCTGAATGCAATGATTTGGATGGGTGAGGGAATACTTTTAGCAATATAGTGTCTGAGAGTGGGGTTAGATGGTGTTTGATGACTGAACAAAGAACAGTACTTTGCAAAATATGTAAGTAAAATGTTCCTGCTAAAGGTGAAAACAACAAACTTGTTTTATAACCTGAGGCAAAAACACAGTGAAGACACATGAGGAGGAGATACAAGCAGCCGGTGATGTGTGACCCGAATGTAAACAAATGAGTTGACCAAGCATCACTGGAGCACTCACTCCATATGACAAGAAAAGCCAAATGTGGATGGAAATTACTGATGTGTTTATCAGTTACATGCTTCAAGCAACTAGTTAAGCTTGACCTGAAGATAAGTCCCAGATAGAAACTTATACTTTTAATTTCAATTTTAGGGGCCTTCAGGTGTTACAGATTTGTTTCATTTATTGTTAAACTAAAGTATAAATCAGTTATTTTACACTTTTACTTTAAATCTCCAGGGATAATACTACCTAGGCTACTTTTGTGCTTACATTTGACTTATGCTGTGTATACAATTGGACTACAGTGCCGTCTACTCAGTTCAGGAATAGATTCATACTCCAGATCAGGTAGTCAGTCATCGGTGACATTAGGTCAATGGAACATTTCCTTGAAATATTGACTTTGAGGCTGTATCACTGACCCCAATCTGTAAATCCAGACTCTGTTTGATTCATATATACAGCTCCCAAGCTTTTTATCTTTTAAATGCTGGTAAATAATTTGTTTATTCCTGAAGTCTTGCCACTTGGATAAAGGAAAGAAATAATTTCATCAACAACTTTTAATAACAAAAGAGTTTCAAGAGTTTTTTTTTTTTTTTAAATACAGCATTATAACCAGCAATAACTGTTAATTACATCAAAAAGCAAACAAAGAAAAACAGTTATGTTAAAATGGCTATGTCCATGTTTTCTAATATAACCTCTTTCCCTCCCTTTTTATTTTTCATTTTTATTTGTGTGCAACACAACTTTGTTTCCTCACTTTTTTGCATCAATTAGTGTCAAATCTTCTATTGTAAAGTTCAATCATACTGTATATAAGTCAGATTCTCAGACTTGTGAAAAAACAATCTATATCTATCCATCTATCTCTAGACAGATTTGTACTTTATTTTTACATTGTAAGTATGGACCATTAAAATTAGCAACATTATTGTTTTATTATTCTGTATATGACTCACTATGTCCACTAAATCTGCATAGATTAAACAACAACAACAACAACAAGACATACATACACATTATGGCCATACTTATGGGTAAGTTGTTTAGTGCAAACATAATTATTTAACAAATTTAGACCAATAGTTCAGGGTCTGGTACAGGGAGGAGGCTGAAGGCAGTGATGCATTTGATGACCCAGGTGGTGGGAGCTGACCACACCTTGCCTCGTCTCACTACTGACGGCTTGTGAGGGGCTTGAGGGTCATAGATGATGTAATGTGTGCAAAGGGCCTGGTCGGACCCTGGCAGGGCATGATAGGCTGTGGCATTCACAGTTTGAGTCACATCACTGTCTGGCTTGGGTTGCCGGTTCAGTAGCTGAGCTCCTCCCTCCCGGAGTAGTTTTGTGAGCTCATCTTTGGTAGGCGTCTTAAAAGAGCCAAGAAGGAAGAAGAAACATCCATCGAACAGTGGTGGAAGCTGTGAAATACGACGGGAACAGACATTAGTGAAAACTTTGAAGACCGCCTCATCCCTTGAAGAGTCCAAGGCTCGTCCAAACTAAAACTGTCTTGCTGAGAAAACGTCTCTATTATCATCCTTCATTAAAAATTGAAAACAAACGAGCTTAGTGGCAGAATGAGTAAAGTCTTCTCTTTTGTTTATGGTGAAGATAAATGGTAAATAATTGTCTTTGCTACTAAATCTAGGCAAGCGCCTGTGTGGATGCTTTGTGTTCTTTGCTGCAGCGCCAGAAGACATTTTTATAAGCACTGTTCTCCAGACAAGCTCTGAACCACTTGGCATTACGGTTTAAAGCAGCAGTGAATTAGGCCACTGGAGACTGTTCTATTCACAGCATCAAGGAACTCAGCTGTTTTGCGTTGTAAATTAGCACTCTCAGGTCTTTAGAGTAGAAAGATTACTTTATTATACGTTGGCAGGGTTTTACTTTTGCTTCTGCATGTCCTTTATTTAGGATTTTGATTGATGGTTTTTACCGTTTTTCAAGAATGAACATTTATTTTGCATCAGAGGGGGGGAAAAAAAAAAAAAGAGTTATAAAAGAGTGGGGGAACATGTGTCTCCTTGTGGTTATGACCAGAACATGCTGAAAATACCTTGAGAATTCCTCAAGGTAACAGGTAAACACTTTATCAGGTACATACACAGTGCATAGAATTTTGTTTTTGCACAAATGAATCTGAACAAAGCAGACTAAAGCACCTTTAGAAGCAAATGCAGCTTCTAAAGAGTCTTTTGCCAGTATTAGCTTTGACAATGCAGTGCCCCCATTCTCTAAAAACAGCACAAGCTCCATCGGGTTTCATGCTGATTGGTTGGGGAAAGCTATTTTCAAGCCCTGCCAAAATATCTTCTTTAAACTGAGGTCATGACAGACTTGGCCACTGTAAGTCATTCATGTTGTGTTAGAAACAATGTCAGTGTAATTTTGGCTTTGTGGTTAGCTGCTGTCTTTCAGAAACGGTTGGCTGCAAAATCAAACATGTGGGTGAGAGAACAAAAAATTTTGAATACTTAGCTTAATTAAGACTAATTTGAATTGAAGAGATTAAAAATTTAATTATATTTATATTGATTTGTGTCTAAAATAAGCAAATATGTTATGATTCATGACAGAAAACAGATTTATACAAAAAAAATAAATAAATAAACTATCACCATATGCCACTGCCTGGAAAAACAAATTTTTCCCAAGGAGAGAGAGCTTAAACAACGCGTATTCATCAATTTCATATCTTTGTTTTTGTGCTTCTCGCTTACCAAGCTGCATCTGTTGATGCGACTTCGCTGGGGGCCTTCTCCTGCTTCATGCTCAGCTTCAGGCACCCACTTCCCCGCCTGGAGACATGCCTCCACCCCTGGCATCAAAGAGAGAGAACAAAGAAAATTAAAGCTACAGCTAATTATGTTGACTTTGAGGGAATGTGACAAGGCTGTGTTGCACACCAAGGATGACAGTCTGTTTTATCACAAGTTGGAAGATTTCATGTATTGGCATAGCTGCCGTTGTTGACAGAGAAAGATGCCCACAGCATGATGGAGTTAATGATGCAACCCCCGTTTAAAGTATTAAGCAGAATTCGAGCGTCATCTCTTTCTGTCTCTTGAGGTTTTACGGAGTCAAAATAAAACCGTGTGACAGTCAGCATCCAGGCATTTTTTGTGTTAGAGATATAGCTTTTGTTAAAAATCCTTAGGAAGAAAATCTTAAAAAGGCAGAAAACTTTTTAAAAGTAAAGGCAGATAAAGGGGGAGGGAAAACACACAAAAACATGCACATTTTAATGACCCCTCACTGTCACAGATAAAAATGCTTCTGAAGATGTCACAGATCAAACTGCGGCTGTTCTCAGTAAGTGTTCTATTACTGAGCATTATTTTTGGGATATATTAAAAGAAACCCCAAATCCACAGTTTATAAGTGGCATATCTAAACATTAAAGCTAGATTAGGTTGGAAATATGACACTTTGCTGTGGCGGGGTGGGAAGATAGGAAATACACCTGAGCATACGCATTGGCTCGAATAACGTTTTTCATTACAAACACACTGAGTTTTCTCATTACGCTTCTAACTGTTAGAGATGCAAACTATTCCACAGACACATTTGCAAGGTATATACGCAACACTTTGCCTCAAGTTCTCTCTTACAAACATTCCACCTTCCAAATATGTGAGTAAGATGACAGGAACAGATCAGTGTGTGTACACCGTGACAGCACCATTACAAGGGGTGAGGAGTAGTAACATTTCTTCACCCCCCTTAATTACAGACTTCTTTCAGGAGGACCCCGCTAAAGAGTTGGGCAGAGATACAGGGGTTAATCTCTCTCTGGACGATAGCACTTAGTTTCTTAGAGTCATTAGCATATTTGTTAATCATACTCCGAAAGAGAGCATAAAACATCTCAATCCCCATCCTTACTGAGTGAGCAGTAAGATGAACCAGCCCTCTTGACTAACCGTGAGACCAAACTGTTACTGCGATCTCATTATAAAGACAAAAGCTGACGAAAACTTGTCCTCTTATAATGAGACAAGAAGAATTGTATTGGCATTTCGAATGGATAAGAAGTTCTAAAGGCCAATACAGACGCTTTAGGAGTGAGACAGGATACAACATTGCACTCATGGTCATTATACCAAAAGTCAGTATGAAGCCATACTAATCAAAATTGAAAATTTCTCCTCTTCAGAAACACCTCCACATCTGACATCAACTCCTAGGAAAAAATAGCACAAGTCTTGAATTTCCTCCATTGTTATGCAATTTATCGTTATGATGAACACCAGTACCTACAGAAATGCTCTTGTGGCCTATGCTAGTTTTGTGCACCTATCTAACTTCTGTAAAAGTTCTTGTGATCAAAGAATGACCTGCCAACCAGTCTTTCTGGGAGAACAGACTGTAAGCAACCAGACTTTGTAGGCTTTTATTGACACTAACAGGCAACTCTGCATCCTACACTTCCAATCTCATATCTTTAAGTAGAAAAGCTGACCCCAAGAAGTTTTCTGAGACCTGCAATGAGAGTTGTACTTTTTTCAGGCTGCACTGATTGCTTAGAGCATTCAGTAACGTTAAGAAAAGTAAAACTGCATGTGCTTTATTAGTTCAGCTTTTCTGTGTAAATGCAGTCACTTATGTATAGGTGAACTCTTAGTCTTCCTATGACTAGGGACTGTGCATTGAAATGTCTTCATTAAATACGCAATGGAAAAATGTTATAATGTTAATGTTTAAACACATAAGATGAAAAAACAAAAACAATAAGTGGACATTTTCTAGCTATAGGTTGCCAGACACAGCTGGTAGATGCAAGATTTAAAAAAAGGTTTACAAGCGAGCTAATTGAGATTAGATTGAGGTAAATAATAGTCTCATTTTACTCTAGCAAAAACATTAGTGTGTTTCCCCCATGCTGGTCAAAACCATTTCAACTGTTCTGAACATGTCTTTTAGTTTTAAGTGAAACCCTAATAAAAGGCTTTTAGTTGGAATATAACCTTGTTAGGCACACAGAGACTGTGCATTTCAATCAAAATGCAATGCACTGAAACAAGTCTGATAAAGAAGTAAGCCGGGGCTCGGCTTAGCGGACAGGGATGGCATACAAAGTCAGGTGACAGTGAAAATGCAGCTCCTTGTGTGTGCTCACATACACAAGGAAAAGAAACAGATAGGATGCCACAGTGACTGTCACAAGGGAGACAAGAAGTGTCAAGTGCTCAGCCCGCGTGGAGAAAAGAAAAGGGGAGGGGGGGATAAATATGGTCCAAACACTCAAAATGTTACAGTGACACAACTACACACATTCAACGTTGAACTGGCTTACTGGCAGAGACAGAAACAGGAATGCACGGCACTGTACTGTAACACTCACACATTCCCACACATACAACAGTCAAGGGCATGCCAAGGTGCCAGAAAACTCTTTGACTGCAAGTCTCTTTCTGCTTCCTGTGAAGCTGATTGTCTCTGAACATATGCTTGCTGACTTGGTCCAAGGATACCAGAGAGACTAGCCAAGATTAGGAAATTTTTTGCAAGGTATTTATCTTGGTAAAAAGGCAGAAGAGTTGACCAACTTTTTATCACTAGTCATATTTGGCCTTGTGATATATTGATTCCCACCTACTTCACTTGGCCGTCAGACATAAGGAGTTGTGTGCACACAGAGCAACAGGCACAAACAATCTGATATGAAAACTGCTTGTTGCTAAATGTTCTTTAAATCTTCCCATAGAGACCGGATGTTGTGCATGAAAAAAAAAATCCTGTATATTTTATTTGGACTTTTCCCAAAAACACCCAAAACAGAATAATTCACTTAAAAGGTTCCAAAATGAGAGAAATTAACACCATAATATTGTAGCACCAAGTAACACATCAGCAATTTTAATGGTTTACATGTCCCTAAATGTAGCCGCATAAAAATATTATCTAAAACAGTCCTATGGAAAATCACAAACAGCCCACTGTTTGAAACAAAGACGGCTGTTAAAATGTTCTGTGGGACTGAGCAGGAGGCTAATCTGTTATCTCAAATTGTTTTGTTTTGTTTTTTTCTCTCTGTAGAAGCATCTGGGAAGTCTTCCTTGGAAATGTTAAGAAAGGGCAGGCAATTAAAAAAAAATACTCAGCAGGTGACTAGATGAATCATGCTTGTAGCAGTGACCTTACTGCTGCAGGCTTATAGGTTAAAGCCGATTAGAATGGATTCCCTTGCAATCAGCAACCTCAGTATTTCTGCTGTCTTGTAAGGTAAGCAGAGGCCGCGCTACCAACATTTGTGCTGTATTTTTGGGAGATAAATGACTAAGCTGAGCAACTACAAGAAACAAAACTTCTATGTAAATGGAAATACTGTTTCTATATCTAGAAACTCTCTGAAAGACTTTAATGACTTTTCTGTGAAAAATGTATATATATATATTTATCAGGTACGGTATAGAAATATTTACATGTAATTTTGCCACTCAGCACAAATAGCCATCTGGCACTTACTTCTGGATGAAAGGTATTTGAGTTTATTGCAAACAAAACTTACAATGTACAAATGTAACGGTGCAGCATGTGAGGAAACACGTGATAGTAGCAAATTAAAGTTCTTTCTATTTTTGGGCAAGAAGCCCAGTCAATACTGAACTTTATTAAAAGCAATATATAACAGGACAGATTTAGTAACTGTAATTACATTGCTTTTGCTAAATTATAACGATACTACTCTAAATGTCCAAGACTTTTCAACATATTAAATTCTAATGCTATTAGAGCTGTCGGAGCTAGAAGATCACAGAACAATTTATTCATTTATGTTTTATACAGAGTCATGACATCAGTAAATCTAAAAATATTTAATTCACAATTCTGGATACATTTTCCAACAGTGACACTTACACATTAAATGAATTAATGTGAATTAAGGAATTAAAGACTGTTAAAGTTGACAGCCTTCTCTGTACTTACATTTGTATCTAACAATCCAGCAGCCAGCAAGAAGACCCATGAGGGTGGAGTAGGTGGTGGGCATTTGCCCTTCCGGTACCACAATGTGACTCACTGGAAAAAGAAAACAGACACACACCAGTCCATACAGGTCCACATTTTGCCTGTGACACAAATTTTGGTAATTTTGCACCAATGTATCTGAAAGGATGCAGTCAGTGTGTCGTTTAATTCGGGGGCTTTGCAATAGTGAAATTCTAAATGTTTGGCAATTCGGCCTTTCATACATGTTTATATATCCATTATGTCCATGACATAACACAGCTTCCACCATGTTTGACAGATGACACATTACGCTTCAGATCACAAGCTCTCATTTTCTCTCTCTATACTTTACTCTTCCAATCAATTTAGAACAAGATTATGTTGGTTTCATCTGTGCAGTGAATTTCACTCTCTGCATGGTCCGGTTATTTTTTAAGGTTCAAGGTTCTTTATTCGTCACATGCATAGTTATACAAGTATAACACACAGTGAAATGTAACCTGACACACTCCTCGAGGGGGTGGGAGAAAGAAAGAACATTATCTATTATATACACATTAGGTAAATGTGCAGTAGTAGCATTGTATGCTGCACTACAGCTTTTGTTTGTGCCAAATTCTAAGCTGACCATTCTGTTTTTGCATATTGGTCCATTGGTAAAAAAAACAAAAACAAAAAAACAACAACAACAACAACAACAAACAAACAAAAAACACTTTAATAATCCAATCCCTGTCTATAATAGGTCTAAAAAAATAAAAATTAAAAAAAATTAGCGAATATTTTTGACGGATTTTTTGACACATCTAAAGAGACAAACAAAATATAACTACAGAGAGTTTATCTTAAACAGTATAGTGTTTTTCATCTCAGCTCAAGTTTATCTCTAAACTTTTTGTTTTTTTGACACATTTATTATGTCAGTTTTCATGAGTTCAGCACTACCTTTAAGGGAAAAAATATCTGAAAATGTGAACAATTATTAACATCTGTCCCTTCTCCACTTTCTTTTTGACAGTGTGTTTTTCCACGTTGCCTTCCAGCATTTCCTACCCAAACAGTATTATAGATTATACAACAAATTTTATACTACATGTAGGCATGTTATGCATTTTATGAGACAGAGCCATTTACATGTGAATCTTTTATGAAATCATTTGTAAAAGGGTAAACCAATGTAATTATGCATTAAAGGAAAAAAAATCTGTGATTTTGATTTAGCAACGCAAACCCAACTGGATGAAATAGTTTTTATTCCAGGTTAGTCACTGCCCAACACTTCCCTAATGTCCCTTACTTTGAGTGGGTGAAAAGTAAGCTTACTGAAAACCTGTCAAATACTTCATGGCAACACAATAGGCCAAGTGTTAGTTTATTAGGGGTGGGGGGAAAAAAAACGATACTGTGTAGTATCGTGATATTTTGTTTGCTAATAATGTAATGATACAGGGACAGCAGAAATCGATATTTTGTTACAAACAATTTTTTCGTGGACTGGAACATGCTCTGACTTCAGAGCATGTTGATCAGCTCCTTTTTCTGAGCAAGAATCCTGACATTCCTTCACTGTCCAAATGTGTTTAACTTTTTTTTTGGCAGCAATAAACATGACAGTTTACTTATTTTAATTTAAGACATATTTTATTTTTATTAAGTTTAAAACTTTTTTTATTTAATGTAAAATTATATTTTGTTTTAATTTACTTTCAAATTCTTCAGTTGCTGAATGGGCTGCATAGTTTTCATAAATTGCATAGTTCAGAATAGCTATAATTGTACCAGATGGTTGCATTCAGTTAAATTGGACTAGACTGTAATACAAACCGTTCAGTTTGTCAACAATAAAACTGACTGAAATGAGAGAAAGACTGAGTCTGAGACTTTGATATTAGATAAAATGAATATTGATAAAGTTTACCTTTATGTACAGAATCTGAATATCGCAAAATATTGTAAAAAATTGCAATAATATCGTATGGTGCGTTAAGTATTGTGATAATATCGTATCGTGAGTTGTATGGTGATTCCCACCTCTATAGTTTATTGTGTAAAAGAAAGGGACACATAATTATGGTTAATTAAAAATTAAATACAAGCTTATTGCCTCTTCAATCAACAATTGAGCACAGTTGAAAAATTCAAAATGAACATAATTATATCTCCAGGGAGAAACCTTTTTACATTGTGCATTGACCATGAATTTGGTGGATTTGCAGGCTTCAGTTCAAAATGTGAGAAATGTTCATTGGAAGCTCCTACTCTCAGCCCTCAGGCCAGATGAGGGAGAATCGTGAGACACACTTGTGTTTTTCATTAGTGAGTATTCATCACTCTGACAGTACCTCCAAACATTTTATGAGGAATGATTTCAATTACTTTTGTTCTCTTGTGTTCTTTCAGCTATAAACTATGCAGCAGTGAAGGAGCTGCTGTATCACAATGATGTATACAGCTCTAAAAGTGTTTGTTAGTTACTGTTGAACCTTCACGAGTGATAATGCTCAAGCACCTGACGTTGGCTTTTACAATAAAATGGATTTGTGTTAGACAGTAAAGCCTATGAAGCTTGGCTCAGTAGCAAAAGGACCATTTGGGATTGTGAACCATCTCTAAGGTTGATGAAGTAGCCGCATTATGTAATCTTTAGTAAATGTTTGGATGAGGCCAAGAGACAACCTTTTAGTTACTGAATAACTCAGGAGGTTCAGCCTGGAATTTATCCTTCAGATATATATTTTGACTGCACGTAGAAGTGCTTGGCAGTTAAACAAGCTTCTGTACAAGCAGTTCGCTGGCAGTTGCATTTAATTCATGATGCTGTTAAGAGCCCATCACCAATAACGCTGAAAGCAGTCATGCAGCTAGTATTGTAAGGGGCTTGGACTGGAACGTTGATCCCCTGGAGTACAAACAAACAATACCTGAGCCAGAAAATGTGTCAGCCATCCTCCCTCCCAGTAGCTGTCCCAGTTTGACCAGTTGATGCCGTTCAGCTGGTGAGAGCTTGCTGGACAAAAGCACTATGGTTTGTTCCCTCCTCACACAGTCATTTACCTACAACAAGCAGAAATTTAGAGGTTTTGAGGCTTTTAATGCAAGAATATGTATTATGGTTCACTAAATCTAATCTGAAAATGAAAACCAACTGTAGGAAAAAGATAAGTTTCCAGAAAAAAAATGACTGGAAATATCTCTGCCTTTAGTATCTGTTAATTTTGTTCAATTAATCAACACAGCCAGCTTCAGGAGGCACTGGTCATTGCCATGTTCCATTTTTGTATTGTTCTGAACTTCTTAAATCTTGACCCTGACAATCACCAACCATTACATAATACAGACAAATTTCAACTAACACTGATAAAAACTAAACTGAAATGAGAAAACCACTGTGGAAACTAACTGAAATGAAGATGAATCAAAAACATTCTAAGCGATATGAGTAAACATAGTCATTATAATAACTCTGCTCCAGAGTTGATCATTTCAAGGGAAAAAGGGCTATTCACATCATGGCGACATACCACGGAGAGACTGGCTGAGGGGCTATGAGATATACGAGCATTTGCATATTGAGTTCCTTCTGAGGCTTCTTGGAAAATCTCCAGCATCTCCAGACTCGCTGCATAATCTGCAGGCCGCTTTCCATACAGATTTCTATGAAGAGGAACAAAGATAAAAGGTGTAAGTATCTAACAATATGCACACACTTATATATTTATTCACTTGCAGTGCTGCAGACCATCTGGTGACCACCAGGAAGGTCAGACACATTAACACTGAAAAATATGTCAACACACAAAATCTAAATCCCAGGAAACACCACCAACAACAAGATATTTTGCTGTGTAATCCTGCATCTCTTGTGGGTTATTTAGTCATGATGGATCAGTGCAAGCATTAAATAGACCGTTGTTTTTCACAGGAACATTGCTCGGGATCCAAGGAAGTGAAGTGCTGAGTCTGAAGTCATTTGGATGAGTGGTTCAGCTTGCACTTTAATCAGTCATGTTGTTTGTATAAGCTCATCTTGAGTAAGCTGTAAGTCATGATATACCTTTACAGTCACATTTTGAATGAGCAATGCACTAGTAAATTTCCATTAGGAAACAAAAAACAGCCCAAGAATATATATTACATGCAATATTGTAAACACATATTATTATAAAAATGATTCAGACTCAGCTGGCTGCACTTCCTTAGCCAGGAGCTCTAGAGTCTTGGGAACCTGCTCTGAAGGCTCCATCCACAGTGTCGTACCTTTGAAAGGATCCTTTTAATACTTGTTTTAGTTTAAGTTTTTAAGGAGATCATGTTTTCAAATCAGATCATCGCCCCATTTCATCATTTAGTCCCAATCTGTGCAAATTCAGTTTCAAATATTTGCTAAAAAAAAAAAAAAAAAAAAAAAAAAAAAAAAAAATTGGCAATGCCACATCCTGCTTGCTCTGTGAACTCTGTGCAACAGTGTGTGTCAATCACTCGCTAGTGCGTAACAGTTCGATATAAGGTTAAGCTGAAGTCTGTCCTATACTTCAAGCATAGGTCACATCATAACACTCACTAAATGCAAAGCAATTAATATCAAAAGGCTGCATACTGAATGTGCTTTAATTTTGATACATGGTAACCTTCTAGAACAGCGTGTCTAATGGAGGCTTTGCATCTCAAAAAGCACTATTATGTGCAGAGACTCAAAGACGATGAAACAGCCTCCCTTGGTTACAAAGGGGACAGCTTTAAAGTATGCGTCTTTACGTATGAGGAAATCTGCATGAAACAAGACTTGGGTCACCTTGATGAAAAGGGGGGCGGAGAAAGGAATCACGAAAGGCACAGGAGAAGGAAAGGAGACAAAGAAGAACCAAGCCCAGCAGGTCGTCTCTAAAAGATTAGGCGTCAGCAAAGATAACACCTGGGGGACAATTAATAGGTCCACTGGTCCATAAAATATTTCATTTGGATTCATACCCCCAGCTCCATATGCACACAAATACAAACAAACATAAAATGTCCCTGACACTTAAACATACGCACACACACAAGCTGGTTTAAGCAGCAGCACGTGAGAAGAATATCTACAAATAAAACAAAAAGTAGAGAAGGAGGTAAAGTCACAAATACTCTTCCACAGGCCTCTGCTCAAGCACACAAGTGGGTGGAAGGTGATGGTGGTTCTAGTAGGCGTCCAATATACCTGTGACTATCTAATATAGTCACAGGTATAGTGGTAGGTTATCCTAGAAAGTTTTAAGTTATAGTGGATCTTTTCGACCACAGCAAGCAGATTTCAGTTATGCGCTCATTACATAAAATGTGTTGCATGCTACAAATGGTTCATCCCTGACATTCTGAGCCTTTCTACCAAATACATTTTTCATTCCTAACTCCACTTTGTTAAAACAACACAAACACTGATAAAAGCTTTTTAACCTATTTACTTCTTGATATAAAGCTTAAAAGACCGTTGCCTTACTTGGTATCTACAGTTTCTATACAGTTTAAACCATTTCTGCCCAAAATCACATTAGCAGCAAGTATGAAGAGTGAAATGAAGAGGCAGTATTTTTTTCTTCAAATCAAAGACAATTAGTTAAATTTCCATCTTTTGAAATTTGTTCTGATCACCTTACAGCCAACACTGCTATGTTAGACTTCCCAAACACTTTCACTTAACTTTTTAAAAGTACCGCACTGTGAGTTTATTTTATTTTTTGCAAATGCCCTTCATTAACACCAAACCATAATCACAAATAATGTCGAGTACAGCTTTAAGAGTTCTTTTGATGCTTTTAGCTACACCCTTCTTCAAACTGCTAACAATATTTCAAACTTTGTGACTGCACAAAAACGATAGTCCAGTGCATAAAAGCCAAAACAGGATCGGAGCAATGCACTTTGTTATGACAAGAGAATGCAACTGAAAAGACGGTATGCATTATGGAGTACATTTCAAAGAGCAAGAAAATGACATCCATTAACTGGAAGTTGTCATGTCAAAGGTGCCCTCTGAGGTCTTCTTGTAAACAAGCAAAGCTTCTTTTCACACTTAGTTCAACTCACCAAAACAGACTGTCTCCTTGAGGGCTAACAAAAATGATGAATTACCTTCCATTCCATTAAAACGGCTGAAAAGCTATTTTTGGAACACTGTGACCTGCATTCTTTACATTGTTTGCCATCTTCCTGACTTTTCTGATTGGTGTATTACTGTAGTCCTTAATGTTTTATAACCACCAGTTTTTGGCTTGCCGATACTATCATCATCATACTTGTGCACCTGCATCATAATTTCAGTGCAAAATATCTAAACAACATCCCTAGAGTTATGATTAATTTTAATTAACTTTAATTTAGCTATATTAAAATCACTAAAATCTGTATAAAACCAAAAAAAGTCAGTATATAAACTGTATGGATACATACATACACACACACACACATACATATATATACTATGTCCTATACTAGTAAGTGTAAAGAGTGATGTAATGACTAATTACTAGCATTTGATGAATGTCATTGCGAGTTTGTCGTACCCCTGTGTATTTAATTATACCCAATGGCATGTTAGTACAAGGCTTCCAGGTGATGTTAATTAATGTCTGTATGGATTCAGTGCTTCCGGCTTAATGTGGTCATTACGACTTAGTCAATTTAAATATATCGGGTACCTTGTTGCCCATGTCTCATTAGTACAAATTTATTTTCACACTGCATTGACCTAAACATAAACAGTGAAATCTAAAAGCTTATTGTATGCTAAGCAAAATTCTTCAGGCCTCCTCTTAAGTTTACAGATGTCCTGCCCTGGTATACATTTAGAAGCTCATACTTTAAAGCGGTCTCAGAAAATACATGTTGTGACAAAGCAGATATCGCTTAAATATATTAAAAGGTACTCAATTGATAGTTTGTCTCTTTTAAGACTTCCTTCAGTATTTCAGACTTCAGTCAGATTAATCAAAAGTTGAGCTAGATATAAAGTGGACTCTGGCACCAAGTGATTTATAGAACTGTGACTAAACAACAACAAAATGCAGCTGAATCATTCAAGCTCTACTTGCACACAAACATCAACGGAGGAAAAACGAAGATCTGCAAAATCTGTGCCTCTAAACCCCGAGCTGTGTGCCAGTCAGTCCATTAGGGACTGCACTGGCAGATGTCTTAGCTTGTGTCCTCTGTGCATGTGTGTGATTCTGCATGGTAAGGAAGAGAAGCTAGGACAGGAACTATATTGATCTCGGATCCTGAATAGGAATGAATATTGATAAGTTTCTGGATGCCAATGCCCACATGGCTTCATGGATTCACTTATCGTCTAATATAGGCCTGCATTATTATTTCACACTGAAGTGCCTATTTTATTACATTGCAATACAGAGATCAGACCAGTAGAACGAAGGCTTGCATTTTCTCTGTCCGAGAAGTCCGAACATCTTGAGGTTGTAAACTATTATATTAATTAAAAAAAAAAAAACAACAACTCTTAAATAAAACCTTTCAACTTACAGTCTTTATTTAAAGAACCAATCAGGGATCACAGAAACTCTCGTACTAAAGTTAATGACATGTAGATTAACAGTGACTCAGAGTTTCTTTCTTAGTCTTGCTTGATCTTACAGCTGCCTACGACGCTGGTAATCGTGACATTTTAATTCTGGCTTTATGATTCAGTTGGTTACTCAGAGGCCTTCCAGGTAAGAGGAAAATTGACCATATTACCCCAGTACTGAATTCACTTCACTGGCTCACAGTACAATAAAGGAATACTCTTAAAATCCTTTTATTAGTTCACAAAGCTTTCGACGATTTGCCCCCCAGCACATCTGTGAATGGCTCACTGTTTATAACCCAATCACACCTCTCCGGTCATCAGGTGCAGATCTTTTAAATGTTCCTAGAATTACAGTCAAGTATGCTGAAGGTGCTTTCAGTTATTGTGGTAACCTGCTTGTTGACCTGAAAACAATTACATCTGTACTGACATTCAAAAAAATAAACCTAAAACCTCACAGAATATCCCTGCCCGTTTTGCCTTGCAGACAAATAATAAGGCAAAAAAGAACAAATGTAAATCAAAGTTATGAGACAAACACAACTAAAGACAAAAACAAACAAACAAAGTATGATAGGTATTCATTGATTATAAGACTGTAAAAGAGCTGATCATCTGATCAAAGTACCAAGTCTGATTAATTAGTCATCATAAGGATTAGTCAGTTCCCGTCCTCATTATTGACAATGTACTTCCACAAGCCGGAAGAGCTCATATGGCATCAACTGATTAACAAGCAATCAGCACTGAATTTTACATCTGTCCACCTATGTACTATGTAACTCCCAAAAAGCTGAATGTCTTGTATGATGACTGAGAAACAAGTCCTTGAAAATTTATTGAGGAAGTGGGGGAGAAAAAAAAAAAGCAGTGGTCCAGTAGGACAGAAACACCACTATGATGTAATGCCAGGAAACACAATAGGCATGCAGTAAATATTAACTTGGTGTAAATGTTCTGTTTCTTTTTAGATTTATGCTTCAGTTGTGTGTGTGTGTGTGTGTGTGTGTGTGTGTGTGTGTGTGTGTGTGTGTGTGTGTGTGTGTGTGTG